ACCGTGAGGTTATAGCCCAACATTTTTTTTACTCTTTTTTAAACAACGTTCAACATCCACACTAGAATTTTCTCCTGTACCGTGGAGGCAGTTTACATACGTAAATTTCACAAGGACAAACATCCAGACTTCGAGCTTAGTGCTCGAAGTTGTTGACGAGTATGTTTACCTGGGACAAATAGTCCGACTAGGTAAGTCCAACTTCGACCGAGAGGTCAATCAACGGATTCAACTCGGCTGGGCAGCGTTCGGGAAGCTACGACACATCTTCTCGTCAGACATACCTCAAAACCTTAAAACGAAATTGTACAACCAGTGCGTGTTGCCAGTGATGACTTACGGAACTGAGACGTGGTCCTTCACTGCTGGCCGTATGAGGAAGCTCAAGGTCGCTCAGCGAGCTATGGAGAGGGCTATGCTCGGAGTTTCTCTGCGTGATAAACTTAGGAATGAGGATATCCGCAGTAAAACCAGAGTAACCGACATAGCCCAACGGATTAGTAAGCTGAAGTGGCAGTGGGCCGGCCATATAGCTCGAAGAACCGACAACCGATGGGGAAGAAAGGTTCTCGAGTGGCAGCCTCGTACCGGTAGGCGAAGTGTAGGGCGTCCCCCCACGAGATGGAGTGACGACCTGGTAAGACATGCAGGAAGTCGATGGATGCAGGTGGCTCAGGACCGTGCTTTGTGGCATTCTTTGGGGGAGGCCTATGTTCAGCAGTGGACTTGTGAAGGGCTGTAATGATGATGATGATGAAACATCCAGACCCGAAATAGTTGTTTGTAGGGCATACAAATATTTGTTCTGTTGCGGATTCGGACCCGCGGCCCTCAGCGCTGCAACTCACTGCTAAGGTACTGCGTCACAGAGCCGTCAGCAACGTACCCCGACTTTGCACTCGCAAGAAAAGTTAGCCATTTGCCCTCAACAAAAACAAACGTAGATCAGCAATTCACTTAACGCAAATATCTCATGGTCATAGCATATTATCAACATCAGGATGACTTCATTACGGCTAATAACTTCCAGTTATGACGAACTACATAACCGTTTTCTGACTATAACAACGACTGCTTCTTGCTGTTAGGAGCGCTCACAGTCATCAAACAGCTTGACATTTTTTTTAATGTAAGAGTACCGAACGTGTGTATTGCCTATATAAGGAAAAACTAAATAAACAGTGGGTTTTAATACGTAAAATTTTTTTGAGTTTGTGTTCCTATCAAATGTTTGTGCATATAAACTATATATTAGGATAATTTAAAATTAAAAATTTTGTACAGCCGACTTCAATATAAGTTATTAAGAATAACTCAAAAACTGTTTGTCTGACCTTGATCAAATTAATATGGGACCACACGGGGAGAAGTACCAGCTTTCAAATAGAAAAACCGGCCAAGTGCGAGTCGGACTCGCGCACCGAGGGTTCCGAACAAATCCGTAGGTTAAAATTATTAAAAATATTTTTATTATATGATGTAACTATGAATGACAAGCTCGTGGAAACTGTCCATGCGGTCGGAGCTAAGTTCTGCAAGACCCGCCGCAGAAGAACACAAAAACTCTCCGATCACACTCTTAATCTCATGGCTGTTAGACGGGAGATGAAGCTACATTCTTCAACAGACTTGACAGCATACAGGCATCTGAACAGACAGATCTCCAAATGCATGCGGCGGGACTTACGCAACTTCAATACAGCTCGTATTGAAGAAGCGATCGAGCGGAACCAAGGCTCCAAAGTCTTTGCCAGAGATCTGTCTGCCAGAAAGAGTCACCTGTCAAAGCTGAAGGCAGAATGTGGCAGCATCGTTTCCGGGACACCTGAGATTTTGAGTGAGATTGAGAGGTTCTATGGGCAGCTCTACACGTCATCGTTGGAGCCACACGCAAGTGTGAGTAACGATCCAAGAGCGAGTCTCATCCGACACTATTCCGAAGATATCCCGGACGTCAGTCTGAGCGAGATTAGAATGGCTCTCCAGCACCTTAAAAACGGTAAGGCCCCAGGCGAGGATGGAATTACAGCGGAGCTTCTGAAAGCGGGTGGAAAACCGGTACTTGAAGTCCTTCAGAAGCTCTTTAATTCCGTCCTCCATGGTGGCATTACACCGGAGGCGTGGAGCAGAAGTGCGGTGGTCTTGTTCTTCAAGAAAGGTGACAACGCTCTCTTGAAGAACTACAGACCGATTTCCCTTCTGAGCCGCGTCTACGTGCTGTTTTCGAGAGTCATTACGAATCGTCTCGCGCGCAGACTTGACGACTTCCAGCCTCCCGAACAAGCCGGTTTCTGAAAGGGCTTTAGCACCATAGACCACATACATACCCTTCGGCAAATTGTACAGAAGTCCGAAGAGTACAATTTGCCACTATGTTTGGCGTATGTGGACTATGAGAAAGCCTTTGATTCCGTCGAAATTTGGGCGGTGCTGCAGTCCCTTCAGCGGTGCCAAGTTGACTGTCGGTATATCGAAGTGTTGAAGTGCTTGTACAGTAGGGCTACGATGGCTATCCGAGTACAGAACCAGAGTACGAAACCTATCCAATTGCAGAGAGGTGTAAGACAGGGTGACGTCATATCCCCGAAACTCTTCACCGCTGCATTGGAAGACGTTTTCAAGCTTCTGGACTGGAAAGAATACGGTATCAACATCAATGGCGAGTACATCACTCACCTTCGATTTGCCGACGATATAGTCCTTATGGCAGAATCGCTGGAGGACCTAAGCACTATGCTCAATGACCTCGATAGTGTTTCCCAACGGATAGGTCTTAAGATGAACATGGACAAAACAAAGATCATGTTCAATGTCCATGTCACACCTATGCCGCTAGTTGTTGGGAGCACTAAGCTCGAAGTTGTTGACGAGTATGTTTACCTGGGACAAATAGTCCGACTAGGTAAGTCCAACTTCGACCGAGAGGTCAATCGACGGATTCAACTCGGCTGGGCAGCGTTCGGGAAGCTACGACACATCTTCTCGTCAGAGATACCTCAAAACCTGAAAACGAAATTGTACAACCAGTGCGTGTTGCCAGTGATGACTTATGGAACTGAGACGTGGTCCTTCACTGCTGGCCGTATGAGGAAGCTCAAGGTCGCTCAGCGAGCTATGGAGAGGGCTATGCTCGGAGTTTCTCTGCGTGATAAACTTAGGAATGAGGATATCCGCAGTAGAACCAGAGTAACCGACATAGCCCAACGGATTAGTAAGCTGAAGTGGCAGTGGGCCGGCCATATAGCTCGAAGAACCGACAACCGATGGGGAAGAAAGGTTCTCGAGTGGCAGCCTCGTACCGGTAGGCGAAGTGTAGGGCGTCCCCCCACGAGATGGAGTGACGACCTGGTAAGACATGCAGGAAGTCGATGGATGCAGGTGGCTCAGGACCGTGCTTTGTGGCATTCTTTGGGGGAGGCCTATGTTCAGCAGTGGACTTGTGAAGGGCTGTAATGATGATGATGATGATGATGTAACTAAAAATTTATGCGTTTCGCAATTTTTCCTTTATCTGTGCTATAATACGTTGCTTCATACCAAATTTTAAGATTCTGAGTTCACGGGAAGTACCCTTTAGGTTTTGATTCCCTTGCGGCATAATATTTGCGGCATAAACGGCTGTATCTTTTGATTGCGTTGGCTTAGAAGTTTGATTTTTTCACAGCTCCAAGGGACAGTAGACTTGAGTATTTGATATGAATTTCAGCTTGATACCTGCACGCGTTCCTGAGAAAAAGGGTCTTGACAGACAGACAGACAGACAGACAGACAAACGGACAACAAAGTCATCCTATAAGGGTTCCGTTTTTTCCTTTTGAGGTACGGAACCCTAAAAAGAATAATCGAAATCGGTTCACCCAGTAAAAAGTTATGAAGTAACACACATTAAAAAAATAATTTTCTGCTCACCAGATGTCGCTAATTGACACTGAGGTAAAGTTTTTTGTTACACAATGAAATTTAATACGAGAAGTTGTTTTTTAATAAAATTTTATCAGAATCTAGAGTATTGTATTAATACACAAAACAATGCGTCAGTGGTTTGCTTTTTGATTTTTAGCACATTTTTAACTTTTTTAATTTTTCTACGTTTATGAAGATCTGTGGTTTGGTTTATTTATTTTTAATCTTATTAATATAAAATATAGCTAATAGTACAGAAAGAAACAATAACCTTTACATTTTCCGAACAAATTAACTTTCGCGCTATGAAACCTGTCAAATATCACTCTCTAGTGGCGCCGCCTTGGTGGCAGAAAAGGTCATTGAGTACCGTCTCCGTTTGGGAAGTCGGCAGATAAATGAAACAAGTGTTCCGATGGTAGTATATGACTTAGGATATTCTGTCAGCTTAAAATTTAATATCCTTACTTTTGTCATAGACTGTTTGCTGGCTTAAGGTATCGTCAAATCGCATATATCGCAATAAAGGATAATTTTTTATAATTTGACACTGGCAAAAGTACAACCGTATGAATCAACAAACAAAGAAAAAAAACAGATATTTATTTGTAGTTTGGCGGAAACACGAACGCAAGTGGATGTGAATTTGATTCTTCAATAATAATTTAGATTTTCATAAGTCTTCCGCTGAACATAGAGAGACCAAGAATCGCCATAATGCAGTCCCCTTCGGTTGTCGGTTCTTCGAGCTACACGGCCAGTCAATGCCACTTTCAGCTTACTAATCAGTTGGATTATGTCGGTTACTCTGTTTCTACTGCGGATATCCACATTTATCGTGTTTAATTTAACATAATATTAACTTCCGACTTTTCGCGAGGTATCTGAGGATCTATTTCCTCAGTCCCTCCGTGACCATGTGCGCTGCAAAGCACACGATGTTACGGTGCTGAATTACTTTTAAAATAAAATAATAAAAGTTGAAGAACTCTTAGTACTAAGGAATAAATAAAAGAAATGTTCTTAGCAAGAACTACAATTAATTTTATTATTATCCATCAACATAATAACTGTCGATTTTTTTAATTACAGAATAATTATGGTGTGTTCAATCGTTGGAAAGTTAATTCTGTAGTAGTGACGTCAATGAGCAACGACTTGGGGTCAAAGGCACAACGGAAAATGTTCCATGCCATGTCCGCTGGGGTGTCACCCGTCTGGTTAGCACATCTCTCCAACACCTGAAAATACTGCCTTTGATATAGGTATTTGAAGAAAAAACATAATTCCCCCCGTGCCATCTGATTTTCGATTCTTAATCAATTTCAAAAATTGAAGATAAATGTGGACTGTGTGCTCGCTTGTCACACTTATACCATAAAAAATAATGAAAGAAGAAATGTGTGTATGTGTGTGGGTTACCTTGGTGACGTCAGCGGGCAGGCCTCTTGCAACGTGTGCTAGAGCAGCCTTGCGCAGCTTGCCGTCCTTAGCGATCAGCTTGCAGCGGCGTAGGGCGCAGTACGCTTGCAACCTCACGTCTGATCCCCGGCACGCCTCCCAGTGCGCGCGCAGCAATGACCGACCCTCCTTGTCCAGTGCCTGCGCACAACGTATAACGTACACCAACACTATAATTCAGCTCAGCGGTCCACCCCTGTACGAATTACCAAGAGTATTGCGATTGTTCAAGAGCGACGGTAGTCGTTTACCATCAGGTGAGCCGCATGTTTGCCCCCTCATAGATAAAAAAACACAGGTTATGCTCTACGATTCAGGATATAAGCTATTAGACTCACTTACAGTTACTTGAATAAAATAAAAAGCAAAACGTAGTCACTCAATCGCCATCTTATTCTGGATGTAAGATGTTCTCGCATATGGGCCACAGCATTCATTTACCATCAAGTAGACTGTGTGCTTGTTTGTCACCCTACTTTATAAAAATATTGTAAATGTCATTAAAATCGTTATACCCGTTTTCGAGCATGCGATTACAAACAAATATATAAATACTGCTCGTATAAAGAGTATGATTTCATGTCATCAATTCAGTTAAATATCTATGTCACTGCTAATACGTTTACAGCTTTATGTTACAACAAACAAGTCTTTGCTCTATATTAATAATCTTCAGGACGAATTCTATAGTTCCAAAGGTAGTAACGAATCTCCTGAAATTTATTTCATCATTACAGCCCTTCCACTGTTGGACATAGGAGTCCTCCAAGGATAAGGATAAGCATACCGCGGAGACGCTATTGAGGTAATTGATCATAGTGCTTAGGTCCTCCGGCATTTGTGGCAAAAGGACTATGTCGTCGGCAAATCGAAGGTGAATGTTGATACAGTATCCTTTCCAGTCTAGTAGCTCGAAAAGACCTCTAAGCGCAGCGGTAAAGAGCTTCTGGGATATAGTTCCACCCTGCCTTACAACTCTCTGCAGTTGCCAACCCGCTAGCCGAGCGTGGCAACAACGGTAAATATTCCCCTATAAGCAACGACATAATTTATTTCAGTAGGTATGTATTTTTTGGTAACATGTTAACGTAAAGCCATAGTTTAATGACAGCTCCGTGGCGCAGTGGCTTAGCAATCAGTTGTTGCGCTGGGAGCCGCGGGTTCGAATTCCGCACGGAACAAGTATTTGTATGGCCTACAAATAATTGTTCCGGGTCTGGGCGTTTATCCTCGTGCAATTTATGTTTGTAAGCTGCCTCCACGATACAGGAGAAAATCCTAGTGTGGGGGTAACGTTTTAAATTTAGATAGATAGATAGTTTAAGAGATAATTGCTGAAATACTCAAAAGCTACTCAATTTAAGCCGCCGTTACGTCTCGTGGAGTCGTCACAGCCACATTGACTTAAAGTTATAGAGACAGCACGAGACAACGGCGGCTTAAAATTAAGTACCGTCACAGAAAAGATAATAGTCTTCTTTGTATATCTCTGTTTAGCCAAATGGTTGACTGGGAGAGAATGCCCTATGGTATTAAGTCCGCCATATGTACAAATTTGTGCATGAAAGCTTAAATAGTAGTATGTAGTACCGTTTGAGTATTTGGGCAAAACATATAATACAAGTATAAAACAGTGTTTGTATTTTTTTGAAAGATAAGATGTTTAGTTTTATACTTACGATGCAGTTTTTGCATTCTGCACTCGCCTGAGGACAATGAAATCAAATTATTTTTATATAAGTGTAATAAAAAATTACTCGCAATTTGAATAGCTAATTATGAAATTGCAAAAAGGGATTTGTGAGATCGTGAGTAGCACTTAGCCTTCTCACATGGTCTCCCGCAGTGGGGTTTTGTCAAAGCGATGGCTTAGTTTATATGACTTTCAAAAAACGTTTTTTACATGGTAGAGCCATGCTGCAGCTATATTAGTAGTATATTTGTAGCACGAATGGGTCGGCTCGGTCGGGGATGGACCACGTTCACTCAGAATACCAGCGTAAAATGGCAGCTTGATACTGTTGTGTTTCGTATGGTGACTGTAGAGAACCGGAAACCCATTTTACTGGGAAATAGGCATTCCATCTTAGTCCTCACGAGTGACGATGCATTTGCATTTTGATTTTTTATTGAGGATAGATATAGATATCTATGAGTCACAGCAACCACTTACCATCAGGTGGACTGTTTGCTCGTTTGTCACCCTATCCTATATAAAAAAAACGTTTTGTTACTTTGACTGAGCGGCAGATGACGTGAAACTAAAAATAATTTTTACTCGCCGATTATTAATTTGGCTGCTACTGACGCGTCATAATTGGCGATTAACTCATACATGAGAGCATGACTGCTTTCCTATATTATAGCATTGGTCTATGCCAGCGATTCCCAAACTGTTTTGGTCAAGATACCCCTTTTCCAAAATGAACTGATAATTCAGACCCCATAGCCAAATTACTTTAACTTTACAGAGCGAGTCAAAACGTGCCTGAAAAACTTGTACGCTTGAACTCATTAACTTGCACGATGGTATATGGATAACTTGCATTAGTGGTAGAGCCACGCGGCAGCTTTTGCTGTCGCACGGATGGGCCGGCTCGAACCGGGGTGGTACCACGACCTCACAGAAAACCAGCGTGAAGTAGAGGTTTACCTCTGCGTTTCGCTTGGTGAGTGTAGGTGGCCGAAGGCCCTTTTTACTGGAAATGAGGCATTCCATCTTAGTCCTCACGGGTGACAACGCATCTACATATTGATTTGTAATAGAGGATAGATGTGGATGTCTGTGGGCCGCGGCGGCCACTTGCCATCGGGTGGCCTGTGTGCTCGTTTGTCGCCCTTATCCTATAAAAAAAAAAACGATTTTGTCCATGCTTATTGACTTGTTGAGTTTTATAAAAGTATAACAGTGATACTTCCAATTCGAATATTAGTCATTCTTATAACAAGTTGGTATACGTAACACAACTTATACAGTATCTTGAAAGTTTCAAATAAGAACTTGTGTTAATTAATAGGGGTCGATTTGTAGACCTCCTCGACCCCCAAAATAAGTTACGTTTATCGACCCATGGGAAATCGATTTCGACCTCAAGGGGCCGATATCGACCACTTTGGGAATCTCTGGTCTAGATATGCAAAAATAGAACCAACACATTTTTATAAAGCTGGCAAGACACCTGCAATTCCACTGGTGTTGCAGTTGTTCGTGGGCGGAAGTCACTTATCACCAGGTAAGCCAAATGCTCGTTTGCTCCTTCTTCTATTAAGAAGTCTGACTTTTTAACTCATCAGTTGCGGTACTGATTTTCGTGAACTTGTAGTGTGGTTGTAGTTTACGTTCACTATACAATTCCCGTGTACTTGTAGTATTAAGTAATTTCATATTGCATTGACATTTTCAGTCTGTTACAGCCTATTAAAGTCTACTTCTGAACATAGGCCTTCCACATAAATTGCTTCATGTATCCCCCATATTTGCCATGGTTGTCACGATTGGCAAGCGTGTTCGCAACCCCAGTTTACTTCTTTTTAGTCGTTATTAGAAAGACGCCGCTGCTGATTTCCGGATTTATTTTTTAATGACTTTAAATTCATACAAACATGCTGGTTCCAAATTTCATAAGATTCAAAAAACACAAACGCAAATCTTCCAATAATGATTCAGCTAGTGCAATCAATTAACAGTTTAAGAGGAAATCCGGATGGTATTTAGTTCATAGGTATAAAGTACAAACATATTCCTGTTACTCCTTGGTTAATGCCATTAAAGCAATGTACAATCTATATCTACCTGACTAAAAAGTTAAATCGCTCCAATTTTGCTGGAGGATATAGGGAAATAAGAAGCAAGTCAGTGCGCTTCACCATCTTCGGCTACTCATTCACTATCAAGTATGAAGTAGTTAAGCACTGGCTTGTAACAATTAAAATAGCGGAACAGCCTCTATGCAGTTATGGACTTATAAGGGCTGAGAAAAAAGACGCACAAAGTAGTACCTGGTATGTACTAAGCAGTACAATGGCAGCTGCGAGTGCGGCGGACGGTGCGAGTCTCCAAGACATCAGAACTGGTGGGGCGTGTCCTCGGTACTATAGTAAAGACTCGCGCGTGGCGACTTCTCACCAGTTTTATGTGAGAATCTGTGACCCCTACCACGGTGCTGTGATGTCACATATTACTCGATTTTTGGCTACCTGGAAATTAATTTTATATTATTTTACTGTATAAATACTTTTACTCTTATCTTTCTTTATGTATAATTCAAGCTTCTCGTCATGGCAATATACCCCTCTATGCTCTGCTCTGGGTTTTTTGCACAATAGACTTAAAAATAAGAATATCCACAGTAGAACCCGAGTAACCGACATAGCCCAACGGATTAGTAAGCTGAAGTGGTAATGTGCTGGTCATACAGCTCGAAGAACCGACACCCGATGGGGAAGAAAGGTTCTCAAATGTTGGCTTCGTACCGGTAGACAAAGTGTAGGGCGTCCCCCAATAAACGGAGTGACGACCTGTTAAGGCTCAGGACCGTGCTTTGTAGCATTACTTGGGGGAGGCCTATGTTCATCAGTGGACTTGTGAAGGGCTGTAATGATGATGATGAATATAAGACTCAAATTTTGTTTTATAAATGCACATACTGTAACACACAAAGAGCTGCTTAACCTATTAAATACCTAATACGTCCAGCATCCAGCCAATCAATCTCGGGATCACAACCGAACATGTTCATCTGCAAAGCCGCTAAATTTTAGGTGCGTCGCCATCCTTTTAGAAGGGAGTAGGCTCTTATCTTGAAGATTTCTAAGTCATATTGAGTCAGAAACACCAATGACTATTAGATTTATCAAAGAAATTCGTAGTGAATCACAGTGGTGCATTATAATCGTCGTGACGATGAGGATGGATTTGTTCTCTGGGGTGACAAAGCATTTGCATTTTAATTCTTAATCAAGGATAGATGTTGATGTCTATGGGCCACAGTATCCACTTATATGGTGGACTGTGTGCTCGTTTCTAACTTTTATTTTATAGGAAAAACCTCCCTACCGCAGGAGAGGTTCGTGCCCAGCAATTGGTTTTTATGGTCTCATGGAAAAGAAGAATGATACCTAATAATTTAATATTACAC